GTACATACACATGAAATGGTGACCATTCATATGTACACATTCACATGATTGGGTGACTATTCACATGTACACATTATGAATTGGTGACCATTCACATGTACACATTCACATGAATTGGTGACCATTCACACGTATACATACACATGATTTGGTGACTTTTCACATGTACACATTCACATGAATTGGTGACCATTCACACGTACACATACACATGAATTGGTGACCATTCACACGTACATACACATGAAATGGTGACCATTCACATGTACACATACACATGAATTGGTGACCATTCACACGTACACATACACATGAATTGGTGACCATTTATCGGTACTTAAAATGCGCATCACAGCGCATATCAAAAACGTAGTCACTTCCGTGGGAGCGTATGCAACAGATTACCCGTCATGGATACTATAGAACTCAAGATTACACAAGCGTAGATAATTGTCTGTCGTTCAATGATAAGCTCCCCCTATACCCGTAACACATTGTGAGCTTGATTGGAGGCTGTGCTCGCAGATATGTGAATCAAGTTTCTTATTTCCGTATAACGAGATTTAGCAGTGTTTTATATTGATCAACGTTTATTGCGTAAAAACTTACACGTACACTTAGCACAGTGTTATTGCATTCATTGCGTTAACGCTTACACATACACTCAGCACAATGTTGTACTTTATTGTTTCCTGCGTTATAGCGTAAACGTACTTTCAGCAGATTGATATATTTTATTGATTTTATTGAGTTTATGGCGGTTATCACTTATACATACACAGTCGACGCCGGAAGGCCCACATGCGGTGCGTCTGAGGTGGACGATTCACTGTGGAAGTCAAGATAGAATCAGAAAGTGGTGACATGACTCAGCAGAAACAAACTGAATACACACTGCAGGATAGTAGCATGGGAGGCATTCATTCATTTACACCGTATCAGTGGGTAGACTGAGCAGCATCAGAGGACCACATCGAAAAGCAAAGTAACAATCCGTGATACCAACCACAACCTTCAGCGGCACGCGAGTGACACTATTGTCAGTGTCCGTACTCGACTTCAGATTGTGAAGGACTTGACAAAACGTTCACTTATACTTGAGTACTTTTGCACACACACACAATACGATAGCGTACAGACACACGCACACTGTGTGAACATCAGCACAGTGCTCGCGCACAGGTGATGCAGGCGATTAGCCTACGGACTGCTTATTCCATACACGTTGGACTTGGCTGAATGGCCTTGGCTGACCCGTGGAGTAGTCAGACGAGCCGTTTAGGGTTCAGGGTTTAGGAGCTAGAATTTAGGGTTAGGGCACTGCTCGATATAGCAACAGGATACATACAGCAGCCTGGAATTACTGATACAAAGTGCGTGTCTACAACACGATGGCACTATGTATATCCCATTGTACACCGGTCTCCTTGACTCAGTTGGTGTCATACACATCCGAATACATAGCCAACCACTTATGACTGTGTACACGAACCACTGCATGGCAAACACATACACACAAATGCACCTCATAATATTATACCTATGCACACACACATACTCACACACACCAAATACCTCATAATATTATACATATGCACACAAACATACTCACACACACCAAAATACCTCATACAAATATCCTATATAGTATACACACAAACACACCTACATACCTCACAATATTATACCTATATAGTATATACACAAACACACCTACACACACCTACATACCTATCAACATCTACGCCACACTCGTTCAAAATTGGCAGGTGCAGCATAGCCGTTTCGTAGTATTCGTCGCCCACACCCGCCGTCTCGTGGAAAGACACGTGCACGGTCGCTGTGATCTTGTGCACCTCACAATGACTCATCACCGCTGCAGCGACACCGTCCACTATGTTGGGAGCGGCCAGGCTCTGTTGTATGTTTACTAACGTATCCTGGAGGTGCACGAATAGAATGTGAGCGATTGTGGGTATATGAGGGCAAAAAAAGGGCCACAGTATGAGAAAGCACGAAGGTTATCGCAGGAACATTGAACAAACGGGAAGGAACCGACATGTTTTGCCGCGTGTTTAGGCTGCCAGCCTCGGCGGTGTGTTAAATAAACGCCTTGGAGGTACAACACATAGGAATAGCTGCAAATATATATGAGTGTGTATTTAGTTATATGCGAATGACTATGCGCCTATCAATAACGACCACGTTGCTGAAAGTTCAGTCATGCGCCCAGATGGGGCAATGTCTGGGAATGGGTGGCCAGGGATTGACGTAAGCTAAAGTGTAGTTTAATGTACTTTGAACAATATTTTGAACTCTAAGACTCATTTATCTATTGCATTTCTGCACTTGAAGGTAGCGGCAAATGGCTGGTAGGCGATGAACGGTGAATACACCAAAGCGAGTACATTTTACTACAGAAATGTATTCTTCACACATGTGAACATGAACATGAATATAAACATACAGCACATCCACACACCAAAAACACAAACACAGAGAAAACACAGATATAATATATATATATATAAATATATATATATATATATACGCACACACACACACACACACACACACACACACACACA